ACCTTCCAGCCAGAGGTACTGCGGTGAAATCAGTTACCGAGTCACCTGAGCCACTGACGCCGATAAGACGCATCTTAAGAATGGGGCATGGGAGGTATTAAGAGAATAAATACACTAGTATACTTCAATTCAACATTTCATTTTTCAATTCACGAATCATCAGGTAACACAATATTGCACTAGTATAAGTCAAAAGGTTTACAACTCAAAAATACACTGAACAATGTTATCAGATGTGGTTGGTAGGACACAGTATTATTTCATGCATAATGTGGCAACACTGGCAAGCAGAGGGCGGCGAAAGAGCGACTTGTCGATTCAAAGAAAAAGGCTCAATTGTCCCATTTGTTTCTTTTCTTTTTGTATTCGACGTCTCGATTTCTCAGCCATTTAATTATAATCAAAAGATTCAGCGTCGTGATATCATAACGGCTCCTTTGGAAAAATATATTACTCTTTCAGTGACTAATACGTGTAATAAGACGCACTCAACGCATAAGAAATCAATGATTTTTTTCTTAATATATACTCAGATAAAAATTAATTCCTAGTTGTTTTTGAAAAATTAAAGGGATTTGAAAGGTCACCTGGGATAAGGAGGAAAACAAATGGACAATTAATAAAACATATGTCTGGGGATAGAGATGGCAAGACATATGAAAACCCTGAGACAATTGGCTTCACCAAGTATTAGATTTTCGAGAAAATTATGACCTATTCCATTACTGAAAATCCTTACGATTAAAAAGTAGAAATAAAACCTTAATTTCGCAATATTTAAAGTAAGTAGCTTTGTACCAACGAAGAAATCCTCAACGTATTCTTCACTATTTTTCCCCTCTTGGAAAAAATATATCATTGAAGAGGCTCTAGAAACTATCCGCAATCTTCTTCATCGAATAGAGCAGAGCTCTGAACAAGTTCTCAGTTCAGGACGTATGAAAAGCGTCGGCTGGTTGCTTTATCGAACAAATGGCTGTGAGACTGAGATTTCGAACAATTGGAAAAGTCACCTCAGTCGTCGCCCTGCTTCGAAACAAAGTCCGGTAGACGCCAATATGATTTCGGCTTCATTACACAACTGTTTAAATTCGCTTATTACAATAACTGTAAGTTTCGCATCAACTTGTCCGATCCCCGCCAGACGACATTCATCAAAATTCTAGCGCTCGCATTAAGAAATCCACTTTGTAGGATGTTCCTATTTCGTGCTTTTAGAAGTGTCAAATCAGAGCAACACTGACTACATAAAATTCATTTGCGCCTTAAGAAAAGAGTTGTTTGTGTAGGATAAACATTAAGCTTCATACTTTGTATCTTCTTGTGTTTTGCTGCTATAAACGACCTCTTTTTTAACTGAATTTTTCTCAAATAGACTTTATTCAATAAGGCTACATGGTCCGTAAACATTTATTTGAAATTGAATTACTATTTGGTTTAATGAAACCTTTTTGCATGCTCTTCTATTTTTTCATCATCTGGAAAATATGGAATGTTAATCAATCTGGAATATTAAAGAAAATGGGAAATTGATGTCAATTATTTCACACAATAAAATTGCATTGTATGAATCATATTTCAAAAACGTCTGAGAGTGATAACACGATACTATTAAAGTTTTTACAATGTAATAATAAAGCTTCTTCATTAACATTCATTTCTCTTTGGCGAAGGGAATGGTTGACACAAGAAAACAAACTCCAAATATCAGTATATTAACCCAGCAGAAATCTTAAAATATAATTTTACTTATCACAGATCTTTTAAGCTGAAAATTATATCTGACAAATTTCAACTAAGTTCTTAATACGTGTGATTAGGACATGTCGTTATCAAAAGAATTCTCAGAAACTTGAAGACCACATTATTAACATTTTCACACAATTTAACACTTGTATGAACTCAGAAAAAACTTGCAACGCAATTATCACAACTTGTTTGAAGTCGATTACTTTAGAACATCACACCGTATGTCAAAATTCGCCCTTCCTCTGTCCTCACGTCAACAATCGATCGACGTTCGTTTCTCGGGACAATGGAATGAGATTCTCAACAGAAAGTGGCACAGTTTATCTTAGCCCCTTCACCAATATCTTTGTGCATGGCATTCGACACCCAGTGGTTCCAACAAACATGTTTGGCAGTTACCAAGACCTGTATATTCTCAATGCACTACTGTAGTTGTAAAATTCACACATAGTCGTACACGAACATTCTTGAACCATCGCAGTAGTCTTAACTTTTAAGACTCGCTTACTCTAGCGGCTGAACTGGTCGTGGAGCCCGCCAGACACCAACTTATCGACACGTTGGCAACATCGTCTCTACAAAAAAGGCCTCCGCCAAGCACATAGAAAATTGGTGAAGGGCTTCAAATCTAGTCAGAAAATAACCCTTTAATTGCTAAAATAAGCTCACCCACGTCTCCAGAGACCACCGACTCAAGCGCTAAATAGAAATAATCTGAATAATTCAGGACCTTCATCTAATTTTGGGAGTCAGTTTGAAACATTGGAAAACCAAATGGTTTTCCAATTAACTCCACAGTACCGCTTGGCCATAATCATGATCGAATCAGCAGCGTGTATGAGCTTACAATAGCTATAATTATCTATGTATTATTCTTTGCTGCCTATTTAATCCAATTTGACTGAGTTCTTTCTCACGGAGGGCCAAATTCAGAAGAGAGCTTTGCTGTACTTAGTCTATATTATGTGCCGCTATTCTGTCCCCGACCAGGAAGACATTCATAAAATAATGTGTCCCAATTATTGTCTTCCATTAACATCTATACGGCAAATTGCAACAAAGTGCATTTAGATAAAAACAAGTAATTTATTTTGAAAAGGAGTCAACAGACATATAGACACGCCATACTCGTGTCAAAAAAAACGAGTGATTGGCGACCTATTTTGATATAGTACAGCGCTCTTCATGACAAGGCTTCCTTGCCGCTTAACCTATCGGTGTTAGTCTTATCGCACCTAAACACGAAAAAAAAACGATGCGGAGCGCTGTGCCATCTAGCGGGGGAGCCGGGATCTTAGTGCGGTCGGGCGCGCGCGTAACGCAGCCTGGCGGCCGCCTGGCGAACTATCAGGAACACCAAAGGGTGGGGGCTGGGCGGGGTGGGCGATCATGGTGCTCTAGAACCGCCGGGTGATTGTGACCAATTCCGTGTTCATCGTGGGGTGCACGCGACCGGGTGTCGCGAATCTACCTCGCGGGACCGGCGAGTTTATTTTTTGTTTGAACAGCGAACGGTTCAATCTGAGAGAGGGAGATATAGTGATAGACATGGATGAGAGAGAACGAGTAAGGAGCGGCAGAAGAGAAAATGGGGGCTGAGAGAAAAGAAAAGGGAGAGAGAGATGAGAAAAGAAATAGAGGTAGAGAAGAAGAAAGAAACGCGTGGATAAAGAAAGACAGAGAAAAAGAAAAAAACTTAAAGAGGATGTAAAGGAGGGAGACGGTGCAACGAGAGTGCAGCGCGAGCGAGCGAGCGAGCGAGAGAGAGAGAGAGAGAGTGAGAGAGAGAAAGGAAAACGACAAAGACTGAGAGAAAAGCAGAAAGAGGCGCACCTCTTCACTCATCTTGTTTCCGCCAGTAAGTACATGTATTTCTGTACTTCTTATTAACAAAATCTCTCTACGGTTAGTGGAAAAATAGATTCACGTTTTTGATCGAAATGTTACTACAAAACAAATTAAAATACAAAGGATCTTAATTATTGGAGTTTTATACCCCACCTCCATGTAGATGTTCCTGGTGTAAATTCTTGTCGCGTTACTACTTATAATTCTAGAACTTTTCTGGTATGGGAGACACCGAAACATGTTTGCACGCGTATAATAATCGCTTAACCAAATAACAATTTTTCAGACCTCCAAAGATTTGACCACAGAGTTAAAGACATCGGACTGAAGCACGGAACTGGTCTCTTTTTGTTCAGGCGAATATTACGGGAAGATACCACATTTCACCAACCCACACGGATCAATGATGGGAAATACACTTTTATGGGATTCTGTTGAAAAAACCATGAAAGCAGATATATCGAGAAATATCCTGAGCAGGAGCCTTCCAACGGTCGCTTAGAAAAACTGAAGCGTCTACTGTCCACTCTGGTTTCGTCACATCATCTCCTCCCGCGGTCTACAGGTACATCTGGGAAATCGAGGGTTTAATTGTCAATAGCGAACTGCTCCCACTGATTTGAATTAACACGACATACAGACGGACCTACACGTAAGAAAAACTGAAGCTCAGATCGGATATCAAGGCAGCTATGAAGTATCCCTTTGACTACATTTTTTGTCCTATTTCAAAATTAGAGTCAACTTCATTACATCTATATTCTCAGTCATTAAAAGCTCAACTAGTCGTGAAAAATATTGGGCGCGACATGTATGCCCCAATATTATTTCGATGGAACGTAATGTGCCAGTGGTTTTGAGATGGCAACTTGTTCAATAGAAGAAATTGCAATTCGTTATGTGTCGCCAGGACTGGCTGCCCTGGTAGTGTAATTGTACCCCACTTTCAGAGTTCAACATTAGGATGCATGGGTAATAATATAATGTGAAACATCACTCCTGGTATATGTTAATTGCTAACTGTAAAGGAGTGAGGCAGTTGTAGGGACCCTTTCTTATAGCTTTCCCAGCATTATACGAAACAACTTCTGTGGGCATTATGTATCCCAAGTGTATTCAAAAGGAATCACAGTACAATGCCAAGACAATTTTAACATTAATCTAAGTATAGAAAAATAAAAGGAATATGAAATCCGTTTCAATAATCGAAAATTTGTAAAGCCTAGATTAAAAGTAACAAATAGAAATTGATGTGTGTTTTTGTATCTAACAACAAAATATACTATTTATCCATTTACATAAGAAGAAAATTTACTATTTAAATAGTATCAATGTATTCATGAGTACAAGCTCACACATGACAAACGTCAGCCGCGACTTGATTATTCTTAAAGAAAAAAAACAAAACAAGACATTATGATTTGTGCACATAAACGCCATTTTATTAACGACGCAGTGCATCGGAAATGGATATGATGGATTAATGATGTTATATGAAAATCGGCATATTGTTTCTCGCAACTATCATTTAGATTTTGAACTGTTCCAATATTAATTTGTTGCTCTATTGTTTTAGGAATAAATTTCAGTTACATAGCAGCTTTCGAATCCAATTAAACTTCAATTTTTATTATGTGAAGGATAAGTGAATGTAATAAGAGAGTTCAGTGATTGGTTTTTTGAATGAGTTCAGAATATCAAATTCATCCAACCCATTTCTTTTATATCGATGAATAGTAAAGACCTCGAATCAAAAACCTATTTTAATGTTACTTAATTCAAAAAGAAAATTAGCACTACAATGATCTATACTTTAAGAATACAAAGTAATAACTAAATGTAGTTGTATCTTAAAATTATTATGGCAGAAGTCAATATCTATCGATATTGATAAGAATTTTTTAAATATTTTAGAAGTGTAATGAACTCAAGCTTATGGGTAAGAGCAATAAAACAAAAAGATAAATACTGCAAATATCCACTTGTACACGGTGCTGTTTCAGAAGGTGTCTAATCGTTAACGTGTTATGACATTCAACGACTTCTAACTCACGCTTTACTATGAGAAGAAAAATGACGATAATTAACTAAAAGTAAGTATTTTTCAATGAAAGAAATTCGAAGTTGTGGAATTGCAGAAATTTGCACGGTTAAAAATTCAAAATACATGTACTTATAAATAATGATAATTTTTCTTTCCCAATGAACTAAGTAGCATTATTTGCGGTTTTAAAAATATCCTTCTTAAAGAACATGCAGTAGATAATACACAATGATAGTAAATTTGAAGGACTCGTTAACATGAACTTGTAAGAGCATACACAATGTTCGAGAACTTACGTTATGTGATTTTTCCTTGAGTTATAATTATAGGTATCAATCATTCAACATTTCGTCATTTTCCGCAAAATAAAGCAGTTTCAATTACTCATCAAGAACAAGTAGAGCCTCATACTTTAAAAAAATTGATGATTTATATTCTTAGCTCCAATGAAGCATTTATTATATTAATATTTGGAACATTTATAAAGCGTTCATTTTATTTTATTGCTACATGCACCCGTCTCATAACTGATATTATTTTAATGAGGACATTAAATTTATTGCTGGCCCTTTTATCACTACTTCTCAAATGTATTACTTTCTTCTTGTCGACTTCAAAAATTACTCCCTTCCGTTATTTAATATATACCCTCTATCTCAACATTCTTTACCGACCCACTAGTGTGTCTTCTTAAATACACATTTTCCTGTCTGCAAACAAGAAAATAGTATGCTACCTACTTCTTTGCTAAAGCTCAAAAGCTCGACTTTTTCGCGTCTACTTGTAGCAAGCAACAAACTTGTAATAACAAGATTCCCAACTTCCCTAAAACACCACACCAGCGAGATGCGTTTCGTTAATTTCACTCTGGCGTAGCTACTCCTTTGATTTTGAATCATTAACAATAAAAGCAATAACAGTATGAAACAATAAACCTTCATTTTCGTAACAGTCTTTATGAACAGGATAATACACAGTACTCTAGTGAAGGGAAATGTTTTTGGAAGGAACATGGCACAAGTTTGTTTGGTCCAAATGGGGGCTACTATCTGCCACATTCGACAGGTTTACCAACGGAACGGACCGACAAAACCGCAGTGGACAGTGCCTTACGACAGCCTAATGGCTCTCGTATGTCATAATAGCGATATATAATATGGATAAATTGGTGTCAACGAGACTTGTAATATGGCGGCGTAAGATGCCGACAAATGACGATCGCTCTCCTTATTGTTACTAAAACAACCATTCTCAGTCCTGTGGTTTCAGGTCAAGCCTCCATCCAAAATATCGGGTTCCTTACTTACAACTGGAAATTCAGAAAGGAGGGTAAAACTTTATATGATTGAAATATGCAGAATAATGTGTGTAGAAAATGCGTTTCACGTTTTCAGAGACACTTTGGAAAGGAATTAAACGTAGTGTAATTGAATTCTTAGTTTTTAGAATTCTGAATTATTTCATCACACTTCCTTACACTATGCAACACGCGTACGATAAAAATACTGCAAAAGAAGTTTAAGTACGGTGAATGAAATATTATTTACCATAAATTTGATGCAATGTTTGGATAGAACATTGTGGCAGTGTTGTAACACGGTTCTCTTATTTGAATTGAGTCTCATTCGCAATTTGAAAGAACTGTGAAGTGCATTTGCATTTGGTTTTTTCATGTTTTCCTTCACTCAATACTTATTTCCTTGCGGATATTTTAAATTATTTATCCAGATATCTTAGACGTGGGACTGACCGAAACAATATATATTATGCTACAACATAATATCTTTACTTCCTAATACCAAATACACTATCAGGAAGCAAGAATCTACATCTTCAAAACGAGGCACTGGAAAGTTGTATGCAGTATGTCTCCGATAAAAATCAAGAAAATTACATAGGTATAGCATACGTTTGCGTCAATTTTATGTGTTCATTAAATAGAATATGACAAGGAATATAATGTAACGAGACAGTGTGGCACATATAAGGGATCACATTTTATAATCGTGTCTGTGTAACATGCGAATATTTAAATATTAAACATACAACTTTTGCCTCTTACACAGCCAGCAGGATCAACCATCAAACTTCATTTGGATTCTGCTTGTAGAGAAAAACATGTCAAAAGACTATCCCTCATCAGTGTTACAATTGGTTCTATTTGAAAGAAGGAAACTGGAAGGTAAATATAAAAGTGACACGAAAGTGGGTGTTTAATAGGTTTTGAATATATGGAATGACCTTGCAATTCTGGTAATGAATTAGTAGTACAGTTCAAAGCTGATATGAGAAAGTGTAGTTACTAACTTTCGATAAAAGGGAAAGGAAAAGAAATATGGACTGATTAGGTCATGGCAAGGTCTGTATAAGAATGTGTTTCTCAGGAAGAGTATACGTCGTAGACGAAATTCTGTGAAACGGTACAAGAAAACGGGAGTCATAAATGAGATTGGCATTAGGTATGGTGGAAAATACATTATGGTCAAATTGCAGGTAATATCTCCGACGGGGGATTTACTAAAAAACAGCATTTCTGTATTGAACACATGAAACACATATTCCTTATGTTTCTTTCAAATCACCTGTCAGATTCAATTGTTACTTCCTCTGAACAGGACTTTGGATTGAGTCACATTCAACGTGTGAAAAATCTCCAACAAGCAGATCCATATTACCAGTAACAAAGCTTTCGTTTTCGTGGGCACGTACTTGACGTCAACCATGCAATGTAACTTTCCCGGTGATTATAAACCTTACATTGTTCTAATGCCCCAAACCTGCGGAACCGTCGATCGAACAGCGATGTCTATGCAACTTCATCAGAAAACTGTCCAATTATCGGAAGATGCACATTCAAGCATTAAACTCTTCGGATCACTTGCTTCGAATAAAATAAATTGAAAAACAAACAAACAACAACGACAACTCACGAAGCTCGTGAGTGACGACCAATCAGACGACAGCCACGAAACAAAATCGACGGTTCACTTTTCTTTCTCACTCGTTCCTTCTCCACCTCATGGAGAGCGATTCGTCAAGGACATTCACGAAGGATGAAACGGTCCAAGATGCTGAATACGTGGTCCACTTGACCAGTCAAAGAGTTCGTCTTTCTCCAGCACACACGACGGCTCTTGGGTGCGGAGAATCGCTTCTTGATGCGGCTTTGGCGGTTGAGAGTTCGGCAACGGGCGAACGACAGGTGTTGGCAGTCAGCGAGCTGTAGGCAGCAGGCCTTGACGGCCGGCAGCAGGCGTTTGGAGGTCGCCAGGTGGCCTTGGTGGGTCTGTAGCTTTGATCTCCACTTAGTGCAACTGGATAGGGACACTTTCCACCAATTGTACAGACAAAACGTGTGAATAAACTGCACAGTTCGCCGTGTCGGGAGAAAAATTTACACTACGGTTCTAACGGGATTCAAAAATATTAAACATATACCCCGTTTTGCTGAATAATTGAAATCCGAAAAATTCGTCTCTCCAGAAACAACAGGGCAATGAATCTCTAAAAATGGTTTACTACTTTGGTTCTAATAAAAATAGATATGATTTGATTTGATTTATTTTGCCAAAGAACAGTAAAAACTGTATGTGACAGATGTGATTATCATGAATGACACCATAACCATTAATAGTCGTTTCTTGCAAAACGTATGCGATGACATAGATAATCACAGTGCAATAATGAGAAGAATTATATTACACGCATATAATATTTGGAATTAATTACTGTTAATACGCCCTGGTGAATCTGAAGATACATAATGAACCTTTTTGAGAAAAATATATGTAAGAAACCCCTCGTCGACTAATAACTTCGACATTCGTGGATTTCATGCCAACTGAACAGCTTCTGGAGTTGAGATTAAAGTGCAAATTTTTCTCCGTAGAGACGCTTTTAGTACTTAATCGTACGCTGAACGCGAACTATATGTTTGACCTGCTTAAAGAAACAACTCTCAATCTCACAGGTAAAACTGTATCTGATATAAGTTTGCTCCGATGTTCAGCATACGGTCAACCACGAAAATAAATCCTAAAGCAAATCAGTTGCCAGGCATTGTTAACCTGCATTTAACCCGCAAGGTTCGGGTCGTAGAGACTCGTGTTTAACCGTACGGGTAATACGGTGCAGATAAAACAACGTTGTCTTACTGAGCATTTATGGGACTCTCACATGGGAACAGCATCCGTGAATGTATCACAGTTTGAAGCGAGTTTTTCCACAGCGCGAACGTAGCTAGCGTAAACCACCAAGAGGTAATCACGTGACCATTAAACGTTTCATGAGCTGATTACGTAAGTCGTTAGGGGGGGGTGTACTTCCGAATTGTGATGGCAGAGATACTGTTAGTTTCTCGTAATTACAAAACCTAGTGGTCTTTATATTCGTTTCGCATTTGTTTGATAAAGTGACTAGTTTAGCAAAGCCGGCACAGTGTGCCGTTGCAAGTTAGAATCACTTTCACTTCCTAAACGTTTATTGTACATGTACCGCGATTTAACTACAGTAACGTTATTTTTTATGCACACGCTCCGAAGGAGATGCCTAGCGCATACGATCTCTTGCTTCACGCTGCGCGAAAAACTCGCCCTTGCCGTGCCATTTCAGCATGATGTAACTCTACGAAGTGAAATTTTGCGAAGTCGCGTTTCCACGGCAATGCCGGGAGGCGAATTGACGTAAGGAAAAGCAATGGGGTGCTGTTACAGCACTGGTACCAGTCAGTTGTACACATGCGTCACTGTCACCAGGTACCAATTTCAAACTTAAGTTGGCGTACGGCCGAATTACTCAAATGTGCGTCGTGAAGTCACGGACGTTAAGCATCTCGAGACATCACGCATTCCTGGATGGGTGACAGCCTCGGAACCCCGGTTACTTCAAATGCAATTTCGTTTGAATATGCGCACTATCAACAACGTGTGACGTCAGTTCAAAAGCCACCATTAAAATGTTCCCCGCTTTCTAAATGACAATTTCACCTCGTATGGTCTCTTATTTAAACAGAGCGACTATTGAAGAGCGACGATCTGGATCGCGGTTATCCAATCCGTAACTTCAATCCCCAAAATTAAGTCGTAACAAAACACTCGATTGGATAATCGCGTTCCAGCTGATTACACTTCAGAAGAAACTCGAAATTTCAAATCGACGTATAGCTACATCATGCTTTCCCATCTTCAGTGGAGACCATTGCTTTCAAAGCTCGGCGAACAGCGCATGCGCAGCGCACTCCGTCGGCGACCACCAGCAGCGCCAGCAGCGCGTCGCGTACGCCGCCGCCACCGCCGCCGCCAGCGCCACCATCGCCAGCGCCGCCAGCGCCGTCTGACAGCGAGGCCGCGCGGGCTAACGGCTGCCCGAAGTGGCCGGCGGGGACAGCGCCTCGGGGCTGCCCGTCTCGTCCTGCACGTGCGTTGAGACAAAAAAACACTTAGAGAACACATGGGTGACCGTGAGGTGAGGTGAGCTAAAGCGACTGCGGCAGTCTAACGACGGTAAGTTGAGTCAAAGAGGTTGAGATAGGTTACAGAGGTTGAGATGGGCTGAAGGTAATCTGATGATCAAAAGAGCAAGAGTTGAGCTAAAGGCGGTGAGTTGAGCTAAAAGCGTTGAGTGGGGTTAAAAGCGTTGAGTGGGGTTAAAAGCGTTGAGTGGGGTTAAAAGTGTTGAGTGGGGTTAAAAGCGTTGAGTGGGGCTAAAGTCAGTGAGTGGGGTTAAAAGCGTTGAGTAGGGCTAAAGTCAGTGAGTGGGGCTAAAGTGCGTGAGTTGTGACAAAGCTGGTGGAGTTGTGACAAAGCTGGTGAAGGGTGTGACAAGCCGGTGAGTTGTGACAAAGCCGGTAGTTGTGACAAGGGCCGGTGCGTTGTGACAAAGCCGGTGCGTTGTGACAGAGCCGGTGCGTTGTGACAGACCGGTGCGTTGTGACAGAGCCGGTGCGTTTGTGACAAAGCGGTGAGTTGCTGCAAAGCGGTGATTGGGACAAAAGGCCGGTTGAGTTGTGACAAAGCCGGTGAGTTGTGACAAAGCCGGTAGTTGTAGACAAAGCCGGGTAGTTGTTGACAAAGCCGGTGAGTTGTGACAAAGCCGGTGAGTTGTGACAAAGCCGGTGAGTTGTTGACAAAGCGGTGAGTTTGTGACAAAGCCGGTGAGGTTGTGAAAAAGCCGGTGAGTTGTGACAAAGGCCGGTGAGTTTGTGAACAAAGCCGAGTGAGTTGTGACAAAGCGGTTGAGTTTGACCAAAGCCCGGTGGTTGTGACAAAGCCGGTGAGTGTGACAAAGACGTTGAGTTGTGACAAAGACGTGAGTGTGTGACAAAGACGGTGAGTTGTGACAAAGCCCGGCTGAGTTGTGACAAAGCCGGTGAGGTTGTGACAAGACGGTGGTTGTTGACAAAGACGGATTGAGTGCTGACAAAGACGGTGAGTTGTGACAAAGACGGTGAGTTGTGACAAAGACGGTGAGTTGTGACAAAACGGTGATTTGTGACAAGACGGGGGTGTGACCAAGACGGTGAGTTGTGACAAAGACGGTGATTGTGGACAAAGACGTGAGTATGTGACAAAGGCGTGAGTTGTGACAAGACGGTGAGTTGTGACGAGACGGTGAGTTGTGACGGAAGACGGTGAGTTGTGACGAAGACGGTGGTTGTGACGAAGACGGTGAGTTGTGACGAAGACGGTGAGTGGACCAAGACGTGAGTGGGGCCAAAGACAGCGGAGTTGGGGCTATAGACGATGAGGTGGAAAACAAAGGGAAGTTGGACTATGACGATGAGATGGGCTGCAGAAGTGAGTTGGGCTACGGTGTGACTAGTGACACCAGTCGCCGCCCTGGCCGTGATCTCAGCCGGTGAGGGAAGGGTTCGCTACGCGTCGAGGCCTCACTGCGAGAGGCCGTTGGAGCGGTTGCTGTGCACGTCGAGTCCCGCGCCCGAAGGGCCGGCAGGCAGCCGTCACCTCGGAGACGTCGGCGTCGCCGCTGTCGCCGCCGCCGGGCCCAGGGGCCCGGGAAGGGGCCCGCACAGCTCCACCGACGAGTCGCTGCAACACCGCACGGCGGCACCGCTCACATTACACGCACTCTACCTCCGCTTTATTCGCCAGGCCAGGGAACTAGAAAAGTTAACAATTAACAACATTCCAAGTACAATACATTCTAATATTTCAAAAATCGTAGGATTAATGTGAATTGAAGAGATTCAAGCGTGCATACCCGAGTGATGCATAATAGAGTGCAAAATTATCCGAGGAAATCAAAATTCGGGTAGTAAAAAATCTGATAGTAAAAATTCGGAATCAAAATCCGAGTAATTAAAATCTATGTTCTAAATCAGAACTAAAAATCAGAGTGATCAAATTCAGGTGACCAATGTTCGAAGTGACTCCAACGTTCGAGTGGACCCCAAAGTTCCAAGTGACTCCAACGTTCGAGTGACCCCAACTTTCGATGATCAACATTTAGTAAGTCAAACATTCTAGTGATCTCAATTCCAGTGTTCTAAATCCGAGTGCGACATTAGGTGTTTAAACTCTAAAAATCGAGCGGGGGGGGACGATCAGTTTTTTAGAAAATCGGCTGAACGGTTTGTATGTGCTAGTATTGACCACAACGATCTGAAATAATAAGGTTTTGCCATCATCGATTTTTCGGTATCAAGGACACACAAAAAACACGGATTCTGGCTACGCCCCGTGTTAGAGGAATAATTACTTCATACAGGAACAAAATATATCCACATTTATGTACCAGGCCACGACAATAAGATTGTTTTCTTGCGGAAAATTCGCTTTTCCGGAGTCGCGACTACATACATTCTCGTCCGACAAATAAGCGCGAGGAAGTCACAGTACCACCTGAGATACGAGCGGCGTCGCCGGCGGGAGACGTCGAGTCGCCAGCTGTTGCGAGCGGTCCTCTCGGGGCTGCCGCCGCCGCCCGCCGTCCGCCCCGCCGCCCTCCTCGCCGCGGCGGCGATGTCCTTGGCGAGGGCGGCGCGCGAGGCTGGCGCGCGGGGCGGCGACGCCGCTGCGGCGGCGGCTTCTGCTGCTGCTGCGTGGCGGTGGGCCCGCCCGCGCGCTGCGCCGCCTCCGGCCCCGCCCGCTCCAGACTCGTGGCACTCGCACGTGCAGTCCTCGGGGTTCACGTAGTTGTACACCACCTGTGCGAATGCGAGCAATGATAATGATAATCAAAAGTTGTTATTACCCAAACCAACAGTATCGATCCCAACCCAATCGTATCGAACGCATCTGAATCAAACCCAACCGAATCGAACAAAACTGACTCGTACCTAAACGAATCAAACCGAACCGAGCTGAACCCAACAGAAACGAACCCAACCCAATCAAACCCATTCAAACCGATTCAAACAGAATCGAACCCAACAGAATAGAACCAAACCGGACAGAACCCAACCGGACAGAACCGAACCCAATCGAACGCAACTAAACCAAAACCCGATACGAACCTAAACCAATCGAACACAACTGAATCGAGCCCATCCAAATTGAACCTAACCAAACCGAACCCAACCGAATCGATCCCAACCTAACAGAACCTAACCAAACCAAACCACATCTAAACGAATCGAACTCATCAAAATCGAACCCAACCTAATAGAACCCAACCAAACCGAACCCAACAGAATCGAGCCCAACCGAATCGAACTTAATAGAATAGAAACCAACCAAATCGAACCCAACCGAACAGAACCCAACCGGACAGATTCGAACCCAACCCAATCGAGCCCACCCATTCGAAACCCTCGAATTGAAGAGAAATTAAATCCCAGCCGAATCAAAACCTAGCTGAATCAAAGCCCAGCCGAATCAAACCCAACCGAACCAAAATCCATTCGAATCGAATCGAACCCAACCCAATCGAGTCCAACCGAATCGACCCTAACAGAATCAAGGCCAACCGAATCAAACCCAACCGAATTGAATCCAAGTGAACCGAATCGACCCCAACCGAACCAAGCCCAACGGAACCTAACCCAACTGAATCGAACACAACCGAATCGAACCGAACCGAGTCGAATCGAATCGAATCCCTCCAAATCCAAGCCTGAGCGTCGGCGTACCTTGGCGTGGTCGTTGTCGAGCGTGTGGGCGTGGGCGTGGGCGTGCGCGTGAACGTGGGCGTGGGCGTGCGTGGCGGCGGGGGCGGCGCGCGCCGCCGGCAGCGTCTGGATGCGTCGCGGCGGCCGTCGGCGCTCGGGCAGCTCCTCCAGGTTCACCCACCCGCCGCCCACCGCCCCGGGCGACGCCGCCCCCGCGCCCACGCCCACGGCCGGTGGAGACGGCGACGGCGCCAGCCCCGGCGTGCGGCGCGGCGGCAGCGGAGGCGGCGGCGGAGACACCCTGCGGAACGGCAAACACACCCCGCTCCAAAAACTCTCTCACTCTGAGGGGAAAGAACTCTCGGTGCGATGGGAGGTGAATACGATTCTGGAGAAGCAGCGGCGGCAATGGTCTAACGGTTAGTATATCGAACTGCACGTCCCTCTCATAAACGAATGTTCTGGGGGTAAAGGACTCGTAGAAAAGTCCAACGAACAGGTCTCTCATCTTGCGATAGGAGGTGAATACAACAATGGAGAAGCAGGAGTTGTGGCGGCGATGGTGTAACGGTTAGCGTATCGAAATGTTATACACTTTTCAAAACTGGCGGTTGAAAGATCGGTGCTAAGGGTTACATTTCTTCCTAAAATAAGGCTTTATATTAAATATAATTTTATATAAATACATTTAATTTGAAATTGTAAAATTCATTGAATAAATAAATATTCATATACGTTTTTGAGTATTTAAAAAATAGGTCATTTTAAGCCAATGTTAGTTCATTTTCATCTTGTTTTTAAGTAATTGTATAGGTCATTAAAAAAATTAGGTAATCAGAATCGGAGCGCTGGTAGTGACCATAGCAATGGACGTGCCGGGAGACATCAAAGAACCCCTTGCTACTCACGGCTGCTGGGCGGTCTGCGTGGGCGGCAGTGGGGGCCGGCGCGGCTGCCCGGGCGCCATACCAGGATAAAACAATCACTACACTAACGGGAGTAGTGTGCATAGCAATGAACGGGCCGGGAGACATCAAAGAATCCCTTGCTACACACAGTTGCAGAGCGGACAGCGCGGGTGGAAAAGGGGGCCGGCTGCGGGGTTGTCCGCTCATCAAACCAGGACAAAACATTCTCTACACTTACTTTTCTACAGAAGTAATGACCACAGTAATGGACGTGCAAGGAGAGATCGACTAATCGCTCGCTACTCACGGCTACTGAGCGTTCTGCGCGGGCGGAAAAGGGGAACTGTGGGGCTGTCCTTTCATCAGGCCAGGATAAAACATTCACTAACGGGAGTAATGTCCAAAGCAATGGACGTACCGGGGGCATCAAAGAATCCCTAGCTACTCACGGCTGCTGGGCGGTCTGCGCGGGCGGAAAAGAGGGTCTGTTCGCG